TATGTAAACTCGCAGTTGAGTGCGTCGTATTTAAAATCCAGGTAGTGCACACTGGAAATGCACCACTTCCTGGTTGTTTACTACAGCTGGCTGCTCTCTCTGCCCGTAGCCGGCTAGTGTCTGTCGGATCCGTAGGGTGGGATCATGACTGGGTGCCGTGCACTGAAGGGCTCTGGAGACACCCGCTCGGGGCCGAAGGCCGGCTGGGGACCCACGGGCCGGTCCTGGCAGCTGGCATGGAGCCGCAGGAGGGGACAGGGTGGCACGCAGAGGTGGCCCCTGCTGTGTCGTTGCTGTCCACGTGAGCTGCGAGTACCCGTGGGCCCTGCACACCCAGTCCTGACGACCTGGAGCCTTTCCTCAGATATGGCCAGCGTGCGGCTCCCACCGAGCTCAGCTCAGTCTCGAATCTGGTGGGGGCCTTGGTATTTTCTCCCAAGGGTTAGACACTTAAAAATTGGATTTTGTGAAGGCCAAGGCTGAAGAGAACTGTCCCTTCGTGGCTTACCCACTTTGATCCCAGCCTCTTGAACCCCTTCCCGCGGGCGTCAGTGGTGCCATCCGTGGTCTCGGTAGCTGCCACTGCTGCAGGCTGCCCACTGCACCTCACGGTCACTTCCCAGAGCTGTGGCCCTGGCCCACCCTCGGCCGCACAGAGAGGCTGAAAGCTGTGCCCAAGGCACACAGCCCGTGAGAGGCAGTGTTGGGAACCGAACCCAGGTCCCTTCCCTGAGAGCCCGGGCTGCCCTCAGCAAGGAAGGGAAGCTGGGAACGGTGTGCATGACTGTAAATAATCTCAGTGCTCAGGAAGCTGAGGCAAGAGGATTGTGAGGTTGAGGTCAGCCCTGGCTGCGTAGTGAGTTATGGGCAATATAGCAAGACCTTATCTCAGAAAACCAAACCAAACTAAACCCAAAACAAGCAAGAAGAGGAAGAAGCAGAGGAGGAGGAGGAGGAAGACTCAGAAATCGCACGTAGTCCTTATATGGCTCTTCTGATCTAGCAGGGAGGAGAGCTGCACTTCCACCCCCAAATATTTACTGAGCAGTGACTTGTCACACTCTGGGGACTCAGGGCCGAGCAGGCTGGGCTCCCCGGAAGCAGCTGAGGCTGCGCAGGCGCTAACCCACCAGCCGGCGGAGGGAACAGAGCGGGCAGGAGCGCAGCCCCCAGCAGGGCTGGCAGCTGACACCCGGCCCTTCCCCAGCGGGGCACTGCCGTGCTGATGACGCAGCAGCTTGCCCTCCCTGTCCCTGCGCTGCAGGCTTGGTGTGACGGTGGCATCTTGAGAGACCGCCATGGAGGGGACACCTCGCGGGATTTGGAGCACAACAGTGTACTGGCCCCGGTGTACACAGAGCCCTGCGGGCGGCAGGGGGCAGTTGGCAGCTGTGGGCACGGGTGTGTCAGGAGCCCCGAGCTCAGGCTGGCACGCAGCCTTGCTGACGCCCGTGTCCGCCTGCCCGGGCTCGTGTGCCTGACCTGGGGCAGCCAGGGGCCCTGCCTGGCAGAGCGACTGTGGGTCTCAGGCCTCTGCAGCCTGGTGGGCCCTCAACCAGGGGAGCCGCGGATACAGAGGGCACTGCGCAGGCCCCTGGACGACAGGCCCGCTTGTTGCCACATTCGCTTGAGATTTCCGACGTGGAATTGGTGCATTAGAGAAGTGAAGCTCCCGTAATCCCAGCTCTGCTGCCCCGCCCCAATGCCATCCTTCATCAGGAACCCGGTCTGCATCTGGTCGTGGTCCTGCCACTCGCTCTCTCTCTCTCACACACACACACACACACACACACACACGTGTGTAGATCACAAATCATACAGAGTATATATATTGTACATTTTTCTTTCTTTTTGCAGTGCTGGGGATGGAGCTCAGGGCCTTGTGTATGCGAAGCAAGTGTTGTTCCATATCCCCAGCCTTGTTTTAAAATATAAATCATATCATCAGCATAGCATAATATTCTACAACTTGCTTTTTATTTTTTTTTGTCTTTTTGAGACAGGGTCTCCCTATGCAGTTCAGGCTGGCCTTGAGCTCACTTTGTAGCCCAGGCTGGTCTCAAACTTGCAGCGATCCTCCTGCCTCAGCCTCCCAAGTGCTGGGATTACAGGCATGTGCCACCACATCTGGCTCTACAACTTACTTTTAAAACAGCCATGTATTTTATATTTATTACTGCCAACCCATAGCCCTGGCATGTTCCTTTTACCTGCAGCCTAATATTCCACCCCCTCTTGCCTCATCACTTCCTGGGCCAATGCTCTTTGAGCTGTGCACGTTTGAGCCTGACCCTGGCTCAAACATGAGCAGCTTTGTGTCCCTCATCGTGCCGCAGCACGGAGTGAGACGACTGGACTGTGTGTGACGCCAGGGGCATGTGTTGATGTCAGCTCCTCCTTCCTCTCACCCCTGCGTCAGTGTGCTTTGGCCGCTCTCCCTCGAGCCTGGCTTGCGCAGCGGGGACATGCGTAGATGGTGGAGTGGCCAGCCTGAGAGAGTGGGGCTCTGAGAAGCTCTTGGTTTCATTCCCAGCAGGGCCTACGAACCCGCAGGGTTCTCCCTGGGGAGCTGTCCGGGCTCTGGCCTGGAGAGGCGGCCCCCAGGGACAGCGGCACCAGCGCACTACAAAGGGGCGGCCCAGTCCAGGTCAGGACCCTGGCGGGCTCCAGGGGTCGGGCCGGGAGCCACCACGTTCCCAGAGCTCCCCGCTCCCCCCACCGTGCTCCTCCGCCACCTGTGCCAAGGCTCTGCTTCCTGGAGGGCCCGTCCCGGCCTCTGTCCCTGCTCCCCCTGTGGGAGTCCTGCCCCGAATGCCCTCCTGCGGCTGCCAGCCCGGTGGGCGGAGGCTGGGCTTCGGTGGGGTGAGGACCAGGGACACGCCAGGGGCAGATTGGGTGGGCTCAAATACGGCACAAGCCACCTCCTCGGGCTGAGTTCTGGAGCCCGGGCTGAGACCCGGGTGTCTCGGTCAGCTTTCTCCCCTGCCGGGGCTGCGCTTCGTCCTCTGTCCTCGACCCAGCCCTGACCCTTGAGGAGGGGCCAGTGTGCTTTTCACCCAGCACGGGAAGGCCACTGGGTGCCCGTGACGCCTCCATGGGAGTTGAGGACCCCTGCGTGTCCGCTCTTGTCTTCCCGCGCCCAGAGCGGATGCTATAGCCCCGAGGCCCCCGGTCTGCGCCCTGTGGCACTGAGACCATGACCCCGGGGACCGCAGTCCTCAGAGCTGTCCTCACCCTCCGCATCTTCTCTTAGCAGCCGGTGACCTGGGCTGGGCTTGCTGCCGCTGCAGCCTCAGCTCCTCCCCTGCGAGATGGGGTGACACAGCCGGGCTCCGGGGTTATGAGGATGATGGGAAATGACGCGGCTAACGCGGCCGGCTAGGGCAGGCACTGGCCGGGGTTCTCTGAAGGACAGAGAGGTCCAGAAGGCCCAGCCTGAGCCCGGTGCAGCTGGGCCCCGAAGGTTGTCTGTCTGTAAGCTCAGGCGGTCAGGGAGCTGTGGTGACTGCACAGCTGCAGACCCCGCCTGAGGTGAGCAGGGCGCCCGTCCCCAGCCCCGCCCTGCCTTTGAAGGCGGCTTCCAGGAACACACCTGGACATGAGCTCCAGGGTGGGGCCAGGAAGGTGGGGCTCCAGGGCCACCGGCTTCTCTCTGTCCCCTCAGCCCTGGTGTAGCTTCATCACCTGTAGGATGCGGGTGCCCCCGCCAGGGGTATAGCTCAGTGGTGGAGCATCTGACTGCACCTGCACGAGATCGGGGCCGACTCTAGCAGATTAGTGGCCCTCTGCTTGGGTGTGGAGCATCTGACTGCACCTGCACGAGATCGGGGCCGACTCTAGCAGATTAGTGGCCCTCTGCTTGGGTGTGGAGCATCTGACTGCACCTGCACGAGATCGGGGCCGACTCTAGCAGATTAGTGGCCCTCTGCTTGGGTGTGACCTGTGGCAGTGAGCTCTCCAGTGTGGGCGATGGGTACCAACTACCCCTGTGAACCGCTAACTACCCTTGTAAGCTACTAACTACCTGTATGAACCATTAACTACCCATATGAGCCACTAACTACCCCTGTGAGCCACAGCTACCCATACGAACCACTAGTTACCCCTGTAAGTCCCTAGCTACCCTGTGAGCCATACCCGCGTGGCCAGCTCAGCCCCAGTGTGTCTGTGACAGGCTCCCTGCTGGGTGGAGGCTGGGGGAGACTGCATGGTCACTGAATGCTGTCCTGGTCCATTTTCCGTGGCTGTAACTAAATGCCTGGGGCTGGACAGTTTATAAAGAGTTAATTGGTTCTGGAGGCTGACGTCCAGGATCAAGGCTCTGGCATCTGCTGCACTGTGACATAGCAGGGGCATCTCCTGTTGAGACTGCTCCATCCCCGTCTCTTCTTTCAAAACCACGGCACCGCCCTCCTGACGGCTACTCCTAGTGGCTCCTGAGGGCCCCACCACAAACACCATCAGCCTGGGGATCTGGGAACGTGTTCCTGGCTCGTGAATTTGGGGGACTCCTCAGACCCAGAGTGGACCAGTGAGGCGTAGGATCTCGGGGACACGGTCAGCGGGGCAGGGCCTGCACTGTCCTGAGCCGCCTGTGGAGGAGGCCTGCGCCGGCTTGTGGTAAGCCGAGTCTGACATCGCAGGGAGTGGACATGTGCTGTGGGCCTGGGCTCACGCCAGGTCTTCCAGCGACATGCGATGACTTGTGGGACCTCGCTGGGCACAGGGGTCAGAGTCTCATTTACATCTGGATACATAGGAGTGCTGGCTTGGAGTCAGGAGATGTGATGGTGGAGAGTTCGGGCCCAGGGCCCCGTCCCAGGGCGGCTCAAACCCCAGCTCCGCCCCTCCTGTCATCAGGACGCTGGGCTGTGGCCTCTGTGGGCCTCAGTTTCCCCATCTGCAAAGTGGGAAGGAGCATCTTGCTCCGGGCACTGCCTGGGCCCACGCCGTGGCCAGCCCAGCTCCAACTTCTGCCCATGCCCTCTGCTTCCTTCCAGAGCCTGCAGCGCCCAGCTGCCTAGAGCCCGGGTTGCCCTGCACTCCTGAGCCTCTGCTGCCGGCTTGGAGCCATGAGCTGTGGCGTCCTGAATGCCATCGTCCCCTTGGGGCTGGCGCTGCTGGTGTGCAGTGCCCAGGGCTTCCTCCTGCCCAACGTGACTGAACTGCAGAAGCTGCTGGGCCGGTACCAGCAGGCAGAGTCGCATGTGCGTGTGCGCAGGGCCATCCCCCGAGAGGACCGTGAGGAGATCCTGCGGCTGCACAACAAGCTGCGGGGCCAGGTGTCCCCGGCCGCCTCCAACATGGAGCACATGGTGAGCACCGCCCGCCTGTGCTCCCTTCCCTCCACAGCAGTAGTGGAGTTTTGAGACAAGCTCCTGCTATGTAGCCCAGGCTGGCCTTGAACTTGCAGTGATCTTCCTGCCTCAGCCTCCTGAGTGCTGCGATTATAGCATGTGCCACTAGGACCGACTTGAGGAACTCAACTTCTAATTGGATTTCATTCCAATGAGATGGAAGCACCTGCCTGTGGCGAGGTGCTTCCATGTTGGGCGGGGAAGGTCACTGCACCCCACGAGCTGTCCCCCGAGCCCGTGCTGTCCCCACCCGCACCCTGTCCTCACCTGTCTCCCTTCCCTGCAGACCTGGGACGAGGAGCTGGAGCAGTCAGCGGCGGCGTGGGCCAGGGAGTGCATCTGGGAGCACGGGCCCACCAGCCTGCTGGTGTCCATCGGGCAGAACCTGGCTGTGCACTGGGGCAGGTAAGAGCTCCGCCCGCCTCTGCATCCCCGAGCACCTGCAGGTTGGTGTCTGTGTCCAGACGGGGCGGGGGATGGGAGAGGGAGGAGCACTTTCACTAAAGAGAAAGCAGCAGCAGCTCCCTGGGTGAGGGCGTCCCTGTCCACCACGGTGACACCTGCCAGGCTTGTCACTGACCGAAGGACAGCGGAGCTGCTCAGGACCGTGTGAGACGCCAGGCACTCCTCGGAGGGGTTTGGCGGGAGCGGATGAACCTTTTCGCAGCACTGGAGCCCAGGGCCCCTCGAGCAGCCCCGCCCCTCCGGATCCCCGGGCTCCTTCCAGCACAGCTGGCTCCCTGCCCAGGCCTGCAGAGGCCTCAGCCCCCGCCTTTGTCTTTGGATTCAGCGCGGGCTTAGGTTACGCCCTCGGGACCGCCCCAGGGAGGCCATGGCGCCTCCTCCTGCCACAGTCGCGTGCCACTGTCCCCCCCGAGCGATCCTAGGGCAAGAGGCCATGCCCCTGGCCTCGCTGACCAAGCCGTTGGCGCGGGGTCTCAGCGGTGATGTCTACCAGTGCCCCTCTGCCTGCCGGCCGCGTGTGCGCAGTCAGTCTGTCCTCTCTCCGCACGGAGGAAACTTCACGCTGCAGCCTTGGACTTGCATTTAATGTACCATCTTTCCTCGTTAAAATGAAACCACATGGTGCCCACCTGGGCCTGCGGGTCCAGGAAGGGGCAGAGGCGGCATGGTGCCCTTGGAGGACATCCAGGACAGGTGCAGCTGGCAGCCCTGGCATGTGGGCCCCTGGGAACCTGCGAGGGCCGAGGGGACCCAGGACGCCCGGGGCACACCTCCCCATTGTGGTTTTGGGCACCGTCCACGCAGCCAGTCCCTGCCCAGGCTGGCAGTGTGTGGCAGTGTGTGGCCGGGACATGACCCCACTTTCACCACAGGTACCGCTCGCCCGGGTTCCACGTGCAGTCGTGGTATGACGAGGTGAAGGACTACACGTACCCCTACCCGCACGAGTGCAACCCCTGGTGCCCCGAGAGGTGCTCGGGCCCCATGTGCACCCACTACACGCAGGTAAGGGGCGCCCGGGCCTGCACCACAGGGCTTCCTCCCCTCCCCTCCCCCACAGCTGCGAAATGCCCCCCAGGAAATCTGGGTGCCACCACGGCTTCGCGGTTGCCTTTTCCTTACGGTGGCCCCTGAGGACAGCGGGGCCTGTGGCCCCTACCGCCGCCCGCGGGCTCCTGGCTCGGGCACTCCGGGCTGCGCGCTGCTGGGCCGTTGCCACCCCTGGGTGCCTGCGATGATTTGCTTCTTGTTTAATACACATCTGTCCCTGCAGTGGGTCTGTTCCTGCACGCTCCCCGCACGCACTGTGCCGGCCCTCAGCTGTGCAGGCCTGCTGCGTCCCCCGGGGGCCTGCCCCTCGCTCAAGCCGGGACACCCACGTGTTGTCTTCGCAGATAGTCTGGGCCACCACCAACAAGGTGGGCTGCGCCGTGCACACCTGCCCCAGGATGGACGTCTGGGGGGAGATCTGGGAGAACGCCGTCTACCTGGTCTGCAATTACTCCCCAAAGTGAGAGCCGCTTGCATGTGCCGAGACGCATTTGCCTGCCGGGGAGGGGCACGACAATCTGCGTCAATAGGGAGGCCTCCCCTCCGCTCACGCCGCTTGCCTGGGAGTCGGGTGGACTCGCATGGGGCCACAGCAGTCTGGGAGCCCATCCAGCCCCTGCCGAGACAGAGCAGCTCTGGGGCATCTCCGTCCCTTGTGGGGGAGTCATCCCAGTGGCCCCGTGCCGGCCCTGTGAGTCCCAGGCCGGCCTGAGTAGATCAGAGGGCTGGAGCCTGCAGCAGGCTGAGGGCACTGCCCTCCTGTGCCTGAGGGTGGGGTACCCAGCTGTGGCCCCACCCCCCCTCACACTCTGGGGTGCATCTGCTCCTTGGGGCCAGGACATCCCAGGCCGTGGAAGGGCATGTGTTCCGCAGCTGTCTTTGCAGTGTGCCCTCTGGCAGCACCAGCGGGCCATCCCTGCCCTCCCTGGGAAGCGGTCAGAGGTTGGCATGGGCCGGGCCTGTTGGTTTAACCCCGGTCATGAGTGGGTTCACACGCCGGCCCTTAACAGAGCCCGCTTTGCAGGAGAGGAGAGAGGCTGGGGCTGGGGACGCTGGCCCAGGCACCCCCAGCCTGCACTTCAGCAGGGCCTGACAGGAAGAAGGGCTCAGCTCTCTGCTTCCTGGGACCCTGCACTGCAGCCTGGAACCATGGCCTCCCCCTGGCCTGGCACACTGTCCTCCCTGCTGGCCAGGACCCTGGTGGGGCTGCTGCGGGTGGGTGGGACACAGGCCGCCCTCCTGATGTGTTTCTGGTCTGTCCCCAGGGGAAACTGGATTGGAGAGGCCCCCTACAGGAACGGCAGGCCCTGCTCCGAGTGCCCGCCCAGCTATGGCGGGGGCTGCAGGAACAACCTCTGTCACCGAGGTAGGGCACATGAGGTCAGACCTCCCACCCCACACCGCCCCTCTGCGGCTCCTGCACACCTGCTGTGTGGACAGAGCCCCGGGACGTCCCCACGACGCCCCCCGGCCAGGCCCACAGCACGCAGTCTGCTCACACAGATGACAGGACCCAAACTCCCGGGAAAACACTGCGAGCGTCCCAGAAGAGCGGGTGCTCCGCTGAAGCCAGCCTGCTCCGTGCCCTTGTCCCCAGCTCCTCCGAGCACGTACCTTCCTGTCCCCAGGCCTGTGTCCTAAGCATGGCTCCCTCCTCCTGCCACCCACAGGACCTGGAGTCCCCCGAGTGGTGGCAGTTCCTCAGTGGGCACTGCGTGGGCGGTGCTGCCCCCCGGGTTTAGCCCCCAGCGCTGGAAAATGCACCCTTCTGCCTGGCTCACTGTTAGTGAGTTCCTGGCCTGTCGGTGCCGCTGCCCCTTTGCTCCTGCTGTGCGTGATGCACTTTCCGCCCAAAGCCTCTCCCACGTCTCGGGGCTGGCCTGTCCCAGGCGGGGCATGGCAGCCGGGGACCTGTGTCCACACAGCTCTGTCATAGGCCCGGTGATGGCCGAGGGGGCTTGCAGGACGGTGGGCAGCTGAGACGGACAGCATCCCATGACCTTCCCTGGGCTTCGGGGTCAGCTGTGGGCCAGGCCCAGGTTCCCAGGTCCTCCCAGAGCCACCGTGCTCTGCCCCCAGGCAGCCCTTCCCACTCCCTCTGCCCACTCTGGGGACAGTGCACCCCTGCCCTGCCTCTGGGCCTTCCTGGACCTCAAAGACAGCACCCTGCCCCCCACTTCTCATCACCCCCAGATACCCTGGGAACCCTGTCAACCTGTGGCTGCGGCTCCAGGGCCTCGGCTGCGGCAGGTGTGTCCTGCGGGTTTGAAGGAAGGCACCTCCTCCCCACGAAGGCTCGTTTTCGGAAAACAAACCCACACAGAGGCCTCAGATTCCAGTTTACCCAGGAAAGGTCATTCCGTGTACCTGGCTCTGTATTTTTGGTGGAAAATGCCCAACGTCGCTTGGCAGGCCCTCTGATGCCCTTAGCTAGCCGTGCGGAAAGTCTCCCCAAAGCGCCTTACTGCGTAAGCTACTTAGCAGGGTGAGCGTGGTGCTGGGCCAGGTCCCGGCCTGTTATGGCGACTCGGGGCTTTAAGGATCAGGGTCGAGCAGAAGTGGTTTCTTTCCCCAGAACCTCCGTGTGTGGGGACAACGGGCAGGCGGGGCTTGGGAGGGCAGAGCTCCCCGCTGTGTGGGCTTGGGGTGCTCCCTTCGCCTCTCTGAGCCTCGGTTTCCTCCCCGGTGGTGTGGGGCCGCACGCTGGGGTGGGGCCATTTGTCCCTGATGTTTAGCAGATAGTTCTGAGCCTTGTCATCAGGAAAACATGCAGCATGATGTACAGGGGGCCTGTGCCCTCTCGCTAGGCTGCAAGGGTGGGCATCAGGCTGTGCCCACTGCCTGGGGAGCGCCCCACTTCTGAGGTGTGCATCTGAGGGCGTGGACTCAGACCGGTCCCTCGAGCAGCGAGCCCTCAAAGCGCCCGGCTGCCTCCCCAGGCGGTATGCAGCCAAAGAAAGCTGTAATTATGAGTCTAACAACGCTGAAGGCAGTGGAAGAAACCAGCTTATTCCCGAGGCAGCCGGGCTCCCCGCAGAGGCCACAGTGAATGGCCGCATTGACGGGAGCGGAGCCGGCGCCGTGGGCTTGAGGAGGGTCCGCCTGTGGCTCTGGCTGCTTTCTGGGCTCTTGTCCTGGGTGTCTTTAAATTGTGCCGGACATGTTTCCCTCAGGGACAGAATCTCGGGGTGCAGATGACCCAGTCGGTTGAACAGCCGCTGTGTGTCAGGGACTGGGTGCACCACAGCCGTGGAGTGTGCAGCTCCCGGGCTCAGGGCTCAGGGCGGAGGACAGCCTGAGTGCGCTGCCTGCCTGGCTGGGATCATGATGCAGCTGGCCGTGGGGTCCACACCCGCAGTCCCAGCACTCTGGGAGGCTGAGGCAGGAGGATGGCAACTTTGTTCAAGCCCAGGCTGGGCAACTTAGTGACTTAGCAAGACTTTGTCTCCAAAAAGTAAAAAATGGGTTGGGAATGTAACTCTGTGAAGGTCCTACGTCCAATCCCCAGTACCACACACACATAAAAAGAAAAAATAATAACGGGATTGGGACTTGCCTCCTGGATCACCCCATCTGGTCTTCCCTCGGGGCAGGGTCTCCTGGGATGGAGGTGAGGTCACCGGGAAGCAGCTGGAGAGCCCCCGCCTGGGAAAGCATCAGAGCCGCTCAGGGTGGGGCTGGGGCTCAGGGGGTCGGGCCGACCGTCATCTGAGCGCTTCCTCCTGCGTGAACACAGTGCTGGGTCAGCCTCGTGTGGAGAGAGCTGGTGCTTAGATGCACAAGTTGATCTGGGGTTGATGGATCTTGATGAAACTTGACTTTAACCCAAAGCCCAGAGGCCTGTGAGGTGCGCTGCTTCCCAAACTGGCCCCATCCTTACCAGGCACAGCTGCTGCAGCCCCGCCTGTACTGTAACAGCTTGCCGATGACCTTCAGACCCCAGACGCTGTGAAGGCCGCACCAAGTGGACGTCATACTTCAGATTTTGAATTTTGGTCTTTTCTGGCGGGCAGTGAGTGCACGGTCCCCTCTCATGCTGCCCAGCTGTAGCTCCCGCCGGCTGTGTGGGAATTGAGCCCTTCTTATGAAGTAGGTTTTGGTTTGTGGACTTGCCCAACCGGGCCAGATGTGTGCGCTCGTGGCACGTTTGCAGCCGGCTGGGCCGGGCTGTGTGGTAGTTCAGGCTGCTAACCGCACTTCTGACTTCGCTGCTCTCCGCTGCCGAGGGGCTTGTTGGGAGGGAGCCCGCTGGGAGACCAGGGGCTAGGAAAGGAGCACCCGCCCTGCTGCACAGACCTGCTGACTTCCCGCCCCGGCTCACCTTTGAGCCAAACGGCTTCCGGCTTCTTTCCCTGGCTTGGATTTACTGAGGGTTGGATTTACCTCATCCTGGTGGTCTGAGGATGGCTTGGGGTGGGCAGTTCATGGCCACCTTAAGATGAAAATGAAGATCTCCAAATTGAAGTTTAATTCTGGCTATTTGGCCAGTTAATTAAATGCCTTAGAACACAGGGATTGTGCTCGTGGCTGGAGAAATAGAACCTTCTGATGGCCGTGCTGGGCAGAAGACGGGCCATCGGAGCTTCCTGCTCTTAACCAGGGGCTGGGTCTGTGGGTCAAGTGGCCTGGGAGCCCCCGCAGTGTTGGCCAGCCCAGCTCCAGGCAGAGATGTGGGTCGAGTTGGCGGTGGGGTCCCCCGACTCCAGGCTGGAGAGGGGCGCAAAGCATGCTGGTGGGGAGGTGCAGTGGGGGCCTGAGTGAGACACGGGTCTTTGTGACCCACTCCTCCAACAGTCACTGAGGGGCAGAGGGGCAGAGGGGGCAGCTACAGCTTTGGGTCAGTACCCAAGGTGGCATCTCGGAGTGGCCCCCTCTGGCAGGTGTCAGGGAGGACGGCAGGGGAAGTGGCACGGGAGGCCATTCTGAGGCCCCAGTCTGGGCGCCGGGGCCAGGGCAGACACTGGGAGCGGGGATAGTTCTGTCTCCTGGCGGGTGGGCTCTGCCTGACCTGTCTTTCTAAAAGGCACCCATCCCTGTTCATTTCATTCCTGAAACGAATCTTTGGGAAGCCAGTCCTCGTACAAGTTTCATTTTCAAATCGAGCTTTTCCCGCACAAAGTGCGTCTCTGTTAAACCGCGGTATGTTACTCTCTTCTCCCTTGCCTCCCTGAAGAAGAGACCCACCTCACCACGCCCGAGACGGACGAGATGAACGAGGTGGAGACGCCCTCAGTGCCAGACGAGACGCACGTCTGGGTCCAGCCGAGGGTGGTCAGGCCCACGAAGCGCCGGAAGACCCCTGAGGTCACCTACATGAGTGAGTCGCTGTCTCTTGCCTGGGAGAGCGGGAGGTCCCTGTGGGGCGGGTGGCATCGGGGAGCAGGGGGTTGAGAGTCTAGGCCGAGGAGGAGGGGGAAGGGAGGCCAGGGTACAGCCCTACATCGTTTCCAAAAGGTATTTTTAAGTCATCAGAAGCCGGCGTTAGTGGAAGAGTGCTCGGGTGGCGTTTTTTGCCAGGGGAGTGTTTTCCGGCTGGACCTTCCTGTGTCCTTTCGGAGGGGACCTGGCTGAAATTGGGTTCCCGAGGGAGGGCTCCTCTGCACTGTGGGGGGATCATGCCTGCGTGGGGGGCTGTGAGGGCTCCGAGGTCACCCAGCGTTTTCATCTGTGCTGAGTGGGGTAGTAAATACTTTCCCCGACCTCCAGAACTGCCCAGGTACAGGGTGTCCCCTGCGTGCCTTATGCCCTCCTGGTGCCCCAGCACCACGCCTCCCAGAGCTTTCTGCTCCCCTGCTCGGGACGCCTGGACTCCGCTTCTGCTCTCGTGGACCTGAGATGGGCCAAGCCGGGCTGGACGCCTGTGGCTGTGTTTTCCCCAGGCACCCGGCCTTGCCTTGTGGAGGGCCCGTCCTCTCTGAGGCCGCCCGCCAGCGTCTCTCCTTGCTGCCTTCGCACGCCTGGCCTGTGCCCTAACACACAGCCGTCCTGCAGCCCGCTTTGACCCAAGATGTGCAGCTGCCCTGCTCGGTCCAGAGCTGTAGGACAGGGCCAGTTTTAATGATGCAAAATTGTGACCAGTGTTATTTCAAATAATAACAGTATCTCAGACTCTGATATATCCCTCTAAAATAAAATAGGACGCTTCGCTGCCCCCGCTGGGAGGAGGGGCATCTTGCCCTTCTTGTCCATCTACCCTCCCGAGAGGGGCCCACAGGGTACACTCGCAGCCCCTCAGACGGCCGCACACTGTGGCCCTGCCCTTGGTGTGCAGACGCTGTAGGTGGGAGGCACTTGCCCAGGTCATGCTGCGTCGCACAGGGGCTCTTCTGCCGTGGCGGTCCCAACATCCCGGGAGAGCAGGAGGGTCCTCCAGCCCTGGTTCCTCGCTGTGACACACATTTCCCTTCCTCTGCAGCCCAGGTTGTCCACTGTGACACCAAGATGAAGGACAGGTGCCAAGGCTCCACGTGTAACAGGTGAGCAGGGGCGGAGTCCGCGCCGAAGCCCCTGCTGTGGGCACAGGGCATGGTCGGTTGGCCAGCTACCACCATGCCAGGCTCTGTGCAGTCTCATGGAAAATGGCGCTCACCACTGTGACGTGGAGCTGGGTGGCCCGTGCCGTCAGTCAGTCCTAGCGTGACACCCAGTGGTCCCCTGACTGACCCCACTGACTGAGAGCTTGCCACACCATGTTTTTTCCCACCCGGCCACCACGGGCACTTTGGGCCAAATTAGTCTTGGTGGTGGGCAATTCCTATGCATTATGATGAAGCCCTGTGCATTGCAACAGTGTCCTGTGTATTGTGGGAAATGTCCTGTGCGTTATGGGATGTTCAGCACTTATCTTGGCCTCAACTCGCCAGATGCCTGTGTCAAGCCCCTCCGAAGTTGTAACAACTAAAAATGTCTCCAGATACATTGACAAACTTCCCCCAGGGTTGTAAACAGCTATAGTTGAGAAGCACTGTCCTAGAGGATTGCCCCAGGGTCTGATCCACTTCCCCAGGTAGATATTCCAGTTTAGTATTTTATCCCTGGTTGGAAGAGGGCTACAGCCTGCAGGCCCCATGATACATCTGAGGGTGTCATTATTTTGACCCGGTGGTTGTTGGAGCGGACAGTGCCTGCTGGCAAAGCACCCTCTGCGATGACCTTGGTGCAGACACCCTATCAGGGGGGCCAGCATAGCACCAGCGTCTCTGGGCGTTTAACACGCCATCCTCTGCTAGACCTGGCCCTGCACCTGCTGAGCGTACAGAGCCCCAGGGACATTTAGGAAGTGCCCCCTCCTGAGAACTCAGCCCAGAGATGCTGCCTCAGGCCTTGGGGTGCACAAGGCCTGTGTAGGCTTTGATGTCCCAAATGTGTCAGAGCCCCGCAAGGAGTTCTCAGTGCATCAGTGAATGTATGCAAGCCTCAGAGCCTTTTGGAGCCCCTGCGTTGTTCCACGACCTCAGAGTCCTGGCCCACCCTGGTCAGAGCGTGGGAAGCTGCCAAGGACCAGGAAAGTCTAAGCTCGCTGGGAGGCAGCGGCTGTGGCTGGAGACGACTTCGGGGGCCGTGTGCCAGGCGGGGGCTGGGGAGGCCGACACTCTTCACCGTGTCCCTGTCACCGTCCCAGCTTTCCCAGGCTTTCCTGGTTTAGCACCATTCCCAGGAGACCTCTCAGCCTGGGCACTGGATGCTCTGCTGCCCAGTGGGAAGGTGATTTAGACAGAGACTCCCAAGAGCCGCTGCGGGACGAGGGTGAGGTGTGTTTCACACTCCAGAGGGGCCGCTGTCCCCAAGGTGTCCGTAGAGCCAGCCTCTTCTCCCATGTGCCTGCTTATATGCTTGAGCCGGGCTTTCCTTTAGGAACGTGCTGGTCACTGGTTTAGAAAGGAACTTTGGGCCAGACACGGTGGCACACGCCTATAATTCCAGCACTCAGGAGGCTGAAGCAGGAGGATTGTTGCGAGTTCGAGACCAGCCTGGGCCACACAGTGAGCTCAAGGCCAGCCTGAACTGCACAGCGAGACCCTGTCTCACAAAGGAACTCCAGGGCCACAGAACCCTCGGAGGCTCAGTAGCAGATGTGATACAGACAGGAGTCACAGGGAGCTCTGGATGATGCCTCTGCCCTCCCTGCCACAGGGGGGTTCCCGCTGGACTGGCCTTGGCATGGGCACCCAGGCCTTTGGGGTGGACAGGGCCGGTTCTCGGGGGCCCATCGATGACACAGCCCCAGTAGCAGAAGGGACCCATCCAGCAGCCATCAACGTCCCTTGAGAGGTTGGAGAGCATCTGGCAGGACCGGTGAAGCTGGCAGTGCCCGGCCAATGGGGTGCCCACCTCATGCAGCCCCTCAGGCCCGCGTCACTGGGAGAGGGGACCCTGTGGTCTTCTATGAATTCTGTCATCAGTTTGTCTAAAGCTGGATCGAGTAATTGAAGCACCTGCTGAGCCGGTGTGGTGCCGCACGCCTGTAATACCAGCACTCGGGAGACTGAGGCAGGAGGATCGTTGTGAGTTCGAGACCAGCCTGGGCTACACAGTGAGCTCAAGGCCAGCCTGAACTACATAGCAAGACCTTGTCTCAAAAAGACAAAAAAAAAAAAAAGCACCTGCTGAGGAGGGAAAGCCATGGTTCCCATTTTCTCCATGGGCTTTGGAGTCTGGTTTGCCAGGAAAGCGCTTGCCTGGGACTGTGGCCTTCATGCCAGGCGAGGGTCCGTGTGCCCAGGTGAGCCCGCCCTCGACAGCTCTGCTGGCTCCAAACCACTGTGTCAGAGGAGCCGCACGTGCTGCCTGTGGGGGCAGGATGGCGGGGACACAGCAGGCAGTGCCCAGACAGTACACTGTCCACCCACTGAGCCCGGGGTCCTGTGCCACGCTGCGCCCAGCTAACTCGGCCACAGATGCCACACCCAGGTGCCCACTGGGGAGGCCAGGCAAGAGCCCCAAGCCGCCCGGGGGTGGACAGGACCTCCAGCAGGGAGAATGTGGGGTCTGTCCTCCAGCATGGGTCCAGGCCCCTGGGCCACAGGTGTGACTTGGCCACCCCTCAAGCCCAGGGACACCCAGCCTCACCTGCAGAAGCCTCGAGCAGCCTGGCTTGTTTTTCTGGCTTTTACACTACTCACTGGGCTTCTCTGATGTGAAGATTTTCCTGAGGACTTCAGGAAAACGTATAAAGCGAACGGGAAGCGTCCCAAATCTCATCCATCTGATGCATTTCCTCCCAGTCTTTTCCTATTGGTGCAGGAGGCTAATATTGCTTGTGAAATTTCACTTCATTTTTCACTTACTGTTTCGCAAAGTCCGTAAATATTCTCCAGACGCTGCCCAGGTGTGGCCAGATGGAGGCCTGTTGGGCCATTTCTTTGTCACCTGCCAGCTTATTTCCGGTTTGCACCATTACGGACAGCTGGAGTATACAGCTGACTTTTTATGGGGGATGCGTACTCACCAGGAAAGCCGGCGTCCCGGACAGGACTGTGAGCGGGTGCTGTCCCTGAGCCTGGGCCTGCGCCTTCATTCGCACGTCTTCAGTGACGGGGTTAGAAGGGTCTGGGGTGCATCGGGAGCCCCCCGACTGTCTTCTGTGAACTGCGCTTTCATCACCAACCTTACCCACGGGACAATCATCTCCCAGACCGTGTGCCAGGATCAGAACTTCGAGGCGTCTCCACTAGTGAAACTCCCAAACTGAGCAATGGAGCCGGGGGAAGGAACGCTGAGCCGCTGTGAGGTAACCCGCCACCACGTTTATCCCTGAGCACTGCTTTGTTCCTGACCCACAGGTACCAGTGCCCAGGAGGCTGCCAGAGCTACAAGGCCAACGTCTTCGGGACTCTGTTTTACGAGAGTGTAAGTGTGGCCGTGTTGCCTTCCTTCCCTGGCTCCTTTGGGACCCCGCGTAGCTGCTGAGGAAGGTTGGTTCTGTAGGCAAGGGTTGTCTTTCCACCTGCGGTCAGAGCGGGCGTGTCTGGACTGCCCCGTGCATGTGCTCCGAGGCCGGTAGCTGGCGGAGCTGCCCTGGGCGTGGCCAGGCCGTGCTGATGTGCGCCTGTCCACTCAGGCCGGTTAGCACACTCCACTGAGTGGGAAGAAAGGGCAGTTTGCTGCCAAGCTCGCGGGTAGCCCGACTGATCAGATGAGTTCCCGAGGATAAGCAGTGCAGGAACAAGGATGTGGGGGAGGTGACGGGAGTGGGGTGAGCTTCAGCCCGGCCTTGTGGCCTTTAGTGGGTCGAGGACAACGGCTCAGGGGGTTCTGACAAAGACGGGTTCAGACCCATGCATGACCGCCCCTCCCCGCAGTCCTCCAGCATCTGCCGGGCCGCCATCCACTACGGCGTCCTGGACGACAGAGGCGGCCTGGTGGACGTCACCAGGAACGGAAGAAAGCCCTTCTTCGTGAAGTCGCAGCGGCACGGCGTGGACTCGCTCAGGTGACTGCGCTTGGGGCCCGGGAACGTCCCCTTTGGGTTCCCAGGGTGTTAGCAGAGCTGTGAATGGTATCGAACCATAGGAAGAAATAAAGACCAGCTAAACCCCGTAGCTCAGAAGTCACCCCGGGGAGTGTGTGTGTTTCTAGTGGGGATTTCTGGGTTCAGGTTTCACGTGGTTGAATTTTGAATCCTACTTTTTTTACTCTCCTGGCCACTAAAAATGTATCCCAGTGAATGGCTGATGGTGTCTTTGCATGTGTAGGCCTTTTTTTGTGGAGGGGGAGCAGGGTCTTGCATGTCGCCCAGGCTGCCCTTGAATTCATTGTGATCCTCCTGCCTCAGCCTCCTAAGTGCTGGGGATATAGGCAGGTTAATTCTTTTTTTCTTTCTTTGTCCAGGGATCGAACCCAGGGCCTACACGTTTGCTGGACAGGCCCTGTATAGCTGAACTATCCCAGCGCAGGCAGGCTGATTCTCAATCAGCCCCTTTTTTTGCTCCCTAAAGAATGAGACTTCCTGATTTTGGGTTTCTTTTTTACAAAGTTCTTTTTCCTGACTTTTTTCTTTTCTTTTTTTTTGAGACAGGGTCTCACTATGCAGTTTAGGCTGGCCTTGAGCTCACTTTGTAGCCCAGGTCACAATGATCCTCCTGCCTCAGCCTTCTGAGTGCTGGGATTACAGGCGTACACCACCATGCCCAGCTGTTTTTCTTTTAACCAGTTGGTAATTTTTCATTTAGAAATCTGAGGTGCAAAATCTGAAACATTTAGGCCATTGTGTCAGTGCTGAAACAAGTTTTGGGTTGGATCACTTTGGACTTTGGATGTTGGATTAGAGTCCCGGCAGTAAAGAGCACGTGAATCTCCTAACGTCCGTCCGCTCTACCTCTGGTCCCGAGCTGTTCAAACGGGGATCACGCCCTTGTTTCCTCTTCCCCAAGATGATGTTTGCCACATAGGGTGGTGTCTTCCTGGGCAGTGCTCCTGTCTCTGCTGGAGCAGAGGCGTCGGCCACCTGGAGAGCTGGCCCCACAGGGCTGCAGGGTCGGGCAGAGCGGCTTCGCTTCCTCTGCGTGCTGCCGTGGACCGGCTCCTACTCGCTGGGATCGTGCCCCTTTCTGTTAGAAGGGTCACAGCAGGACCCAGCTTCCCCCTGGGGCCACAGCAGGCAGAGAGCTTCTCTAAAACAGAGTTTAGGGAAGAGCTGCTCTCTGAGCGTGGGGAAAGCCACGCCCTCCCTGCCAGGAGCCCCGCCCCTTCCAAGACCCTGCACCTGGCGTACAGGGAGTAGGGCCTTGTGGCATCAGTGCTAGGCCGTAGTGAACCTCACGGTGCTTGGGTTGGCAGCCTGCCCCTTGCACAAGGGCCCATGCCATGATTAGGGTTGGGGTTTCCCTGGTCAAGGCCCTAGGAAAGCGGGGACAAACGCTCCCATTCTGTCCCTGTCCCAATTGTGAGCCCCGTGGATAACTTTGAAACCATCGAGGGATTCCCATTTGCAAGGCCTCCTGCCTCAGGGATGTGGCAACATTCCCTCTTCTGGCCTAGGGAGGGACCTGGCCGGGCTTCAGACTTTCTCGGAGATGTTGGCCAGGTGACCAGTGTTGGCCGCGCCAGGACCAGCAGGGCAGCCGTGCAGCTGGGCACAGGGTGGAGTGCTGGGGCCCCCGGCGTCGCAGATTGCCTGTGTGCGGCCCCCTCCTGTGGAGCAGGCCTCCCCGCGCAGGACTCACTCCACTGGCAGTGTGTTGTGCAGGAATGGGTCTGTAGGCTTCTAGCAGAGTCCTTGGCAGCAGCGGGGGAGCAACCCTGTTCCAGAACGTTCCGAGGGGCAGGGAAGGCAGAGGTCGAGGCTGCCGCGCGACACCTGTGTGCTGTGCCGCTGCTCCTCAGGCACTGACCTCGTGTTTTCTTTTCCAGCAAATACAAACCTTCCAGCTCGTTCACGGTGTCAAAGGTGAGAGGTAAGCTGGCCAGGCACCGGGGCCATGGGTTGGGCTGGGTTTCCTGGGACTGTCGCTTCCCTCTGTCACCAGCGTCGCTGCTTTTAGCTCTGCGTGGGCCGTTTCTCCCGCTGCGCTCTGCACCTCTGCGCCGGGAATCCATTGTCCTCTGGGGTTGCCACGGTGCTGATGCTCCCTCGGAGGCTGCCTGGGAGGCAGCGGTTCCTATCCCTGGGTAGCAGCCACTCGCAGCATTGTGCTGAGGATCTGGTTCCGATCTGGGCTCGGCAGTGAGCAGAGCTGGCTGGGTTAGTGATGTCTGTCATGGGCCAGCGAGGGCAGCTCTTCCTGCTCTTCCTGCGGTGCTGTCAGAGGGAGACGAGCAACCATAGGAACAGGGGACACGGCCGGAAGTGCGGCCGCGTGGGGTGCAGTCTCGAGCAGGTGCCGCCCTGGGCCGGCCTGCTGACTGCTCTGTCCTTTGGGTGAGGATCTCTGGTCATTTGCCCTGGAGGCAAGAACATCTGCTTAGCGACTTTCATGAAAATATGCCATAGTGCTTTTTTTCTTATTACAAAAACAGTGCCTCTGTGATCTAGATCGTTTAAAAAACACAGAGAAACATTTTGTAATGTTTTAAAACACTCACTTGACCTAAATTCTACTAGAGATAACCGCTGTGAACATCTGGGTGGATATTCTAGTTTATTCCCCTGTGTACTGAAAAAAGATATATATCAGTAACAGATAAGTTTTAAAATTTGAGATGGAATTACTTACAGGTTGGTAACGTGAGCTTTTCTTTAAATAATTAGGAGTCAGGAACATATTTCAGTGCTTTCATTATGTTCTTTTAAACCCAGTTTTTGTGACTCACCTAGCCTGTCACTGATGAAGTCCTTCCCGGTCCAAATCGCTCTTTGGAGGGTGACTACAGAAACCCGTGGCCTGTCCAAGTGACAGACTGCACCAGGGTCAGTGGGCTCCGGCCCTGGGCCAATCTGCTGGCCTCCTGTGTTTCTGAATAAAGTTTTATTGGGACACAGCCGCACCCGTTTGTTGACACACCACCATGGCTGCTTTTCCTACTGCAGCAGAGTGGTGAGGTCCTGACGCAGAGCATGGGCCCACAGAGCTGAAAACGTCAACTCTGTGTCCTTTAGAGAGAAAGCTCGCCAGCCCTGGACACTCTCAGGGGCCACAGGTGGCCAGTGACAGGGCTGTTTTTTAAACACAACAGAGGGCCTTGAAGGACAGCCTCCCGCTCTGCCTCAGGCAGCAACTGGAGGCAAAGGAGGTCGTAGAGGGAAGGCCCGGCCCTGGTCTCAGCTCTTCCTGGAGGAACGCCTGTGTGGGTCCATGCAGAGGGAAGGCTTCTGACTGAGCACGCCTCGTTCTGCCGGCCATGGTGTGCACGCCTGTGCCCCAGCCATTCAGAGGCCGAGGCAGGAGGATGGCAAGTTCAAGGCCAGCCTGGGCACTTAGTGAGGCCCTGTCTCAAACAAACAAATAGACAAACCCAGAGCACGGTCCAAAGGGGTGTGTCCCGAGTGAAAACCACAGGGCTACCTCGCTTTACCCACACGCCTTCCGCGTTGCTGTCCACAGAGCAGGACCTGGACTGCTACACCACCGTGGCTCAGCTGTGCCCCTTTGAGAAGCCGGTTTCCCACTGTCCAAGGTAAGGCACGCGGACGGCCATGGGGAAGGGCCCTGGTGTGTCCCATCGAGGCGGCCAGGGCCGCTGGGGAGCGCCGTCCTCATCTCTGAGCTCGAGATTTGCTGCTGTTCGCTCTCGGCCCAGTCCGGGGTCTCTGGAAGCTGGGTGACCTTTGTGGCCTTTAAATCGGCTCGGTGTTGGCCCTGGGCTGGAGCTTTCTCCGTGAGCAGTGACCTCCGCCGCCCCAAGAAGCACACAGCATGCTGTGTGCAGACGCCGTGTGTGTGCAGCCACCGCCATGAGATGAAGAGCTGTGTCACCCCCACCGCATCCCCGGTCCTTCCTGTCACTGTCCAGGGGCCACAGCCGCTGTCGACTTGGGGACTGGCTTCTGTGCTGGGCCCTCATCTTTTGGACACCCACGGGTGCCGGGAGTGTCTGGAGCCCCTTCTCCCTTCCCCCATCCCCACCTGGAGTCCCGTCCTGTCACGTGCCCCCGCACCTGTGCCCATGGAGGCTCCTGGGCGTCTGCCCTGACCCCGGTTAGCTGGTCCCTGGAGGCGATGCCTCACAGCCCGACGGAGGGTGTCCTGTCACCCGTCTCTACGGTTCCTACACAGCCCAAGGGAAAGGGGCACAGGGGACGTCCTCCACGGTGGCTCGGCAGAGTGGGCCCCCGAGGTGGAACGGGCCGTGTCCCCTGTTGCTACGGTTGCTCCCCACCTTCGTCACACTCATCAGGGCATTCTGACTTAGCCCCCCCCATGGAGCTGGGCACATGGTAGGATCCCCTGAGCCCCCAAGCCCTCGGGGGACAAGGACAACCAGCTTGGGTGACCAAGGGGTGTAGCATCCCAGGAGCCCCTCTCCCAGGCCTGGGGACTGGAAGATTCTGGAAGGAGACCCCCAGGTCTGAGCAGGGGAGGGCAGGGGAGTGTGGTGCAGGAGAGAGGAGCTTGGGAGGATCCTCACCGCCCCTGCCTCGACTTCCCCACGCTGGGGCTCTCTCCCCCCCTCTGCCCCTGCACGGCCTCGCTGACCGCCCCCTTGGACGTTCACAGGGTTAACGGGCTTTTAGCAATTGCCTTGAGCGCTAAGGACAAGCAGGAGGAAGTAATGTCAAAACATACAAAGAGAAATGTGACGGTGCACAGATCTCATGCAAGGGTCTCACCGGCCTTCCAGGGGGAGGAGGGGGTCTGAGCTCTCAGACTCCCAACACTCG